ACACACACACACACACACACACACACACACACACACACAATTATATTAAGCCAAAGAGAACCCCCATCTCATCTCTTTCCAAGGTCTGTAGCTTTGCCATCTGGAGCCATGAGTTTATTCCCTCCTTCACATGTAGATTCCTTTCAGCTATCCTAGGATACCTGCTAAACAAAACATTCTCAATTCTTTCAACTATTCAATGACTGACAAGGCATCCAGCACTGCTGTCCTAGTCGCCTTTTCCTATACTGGCAATGCCCAGCTCAAACCTCAGTCCCCCAAAATGAATACAATATGCTGGATGTGATCTATTGGGTTGTTGGAAGTCATGACGTATTTTTTTTATGTTTTTCATTGCAAAAATGCGTCATGACTTTTCCGACAACCCAATAGATGCATAAAGCACAGCAAGGAAATCACATCCTCAGGTCGCTCATTGATGAAACCTAAGTCGGCACTAGCATTTATAGCTAGCCCAACATATTGCTGTCTCAACAAAACCTGTGGTAATTTAAGATGCCCTGTTACTTTTCACAGGAACTGTTGCCAAGCCAGGCTTCCCTCCCCACTCTTAACACAGGTCCTGTTAGGAACAGATTAAAGAAGCAAAAGAATTGGCCCCTCCCAAAAGCAGACTTGAAAAAAGCTATAAAATTGCCATTTTTTTGTGCAGATAATTGATAAATGGTTTTCTACACTATTAAAACTGACCACGAAGAGTGAATTATTGAGTCTTGTAATTGGAAAAAAAAAAAAAAAGACATCAAGTGACAGGTGTTTTCTTTTATCAAATTGTCCTTTATATAATTTTCCTTCTGGAATCACTGCATGTTCCTAAATAACCAATTTATATTTAAAAGAGAAAACTCAAGGTTAAAAGGAAACAAAACAGTTATCTCTAGGTGGTTGTACAACAGATTATTTTATTTCTGATTTTTTTATATATTTTCCAAATTTTCTATGAGAATGTACAGTTTCTATGGTAGAAAAAAATTAACTTCATTTAAAATAAATTAACACTTCATGCTTTTATATTGTGATATAATTTAGAAATGATTTCTCATATTATTTCATTCTATCCCTAATCATCCTCAACAATCTCCACCAAGAATTAGAATTTAGGGCAGCTGAATCAAACTCAGTACTTCAGTTAAACAAACTGAGTTTTAGAGCTGTTATTACTATATCTAAAAAAAAAAAAGAAGTGATGCATCTAGGAGGGACTGCTGACACATATTTTTACATAATGGCTAATACGACTCTAGGATATGCTAGGCAATTTGCACAACTTTTTTAGTAAATAGTTAAGCTGGGATTCAAACTCAGGTCCTTCCACCTCAAGAGTCTGAATTTTTACCTACTATACAATATTGTCAGTGGAGTCAAGCCATTTAAGAGACGTTTTTGTTTAGTTAACAGCTCAAGTTAACCAGTTGTGTGATGTTGGGCAAGTTACTTAATGACTCTGGTCAGTTTTCCCATAGGTAGTAACCAACTGTTATTATAAGCTCACATCAAGCCAAGGGCTACATAAAACTGTGTAGAAGAGGTCTGAGAAATACCATTTATCTCTGCTTGAATGGACGAAATATGAAGTTCCAAGAATCCAATTACAATGTGCTTTGAGAAAAACTGAGTGCCAAGAAATTTTCATCAGTGCTGTTAGGTTGGTGCAAACGTAACTGCGGTTTCTGCAATGTTGAAATTTGCTTCTGATATTAGAATACATTCTTAAATAAATGTGGTTATGTTATACATCATTTTAATGCACATTTCTCGCTTGATGTCTTCTTGCTAATGACTTATTACTTACTGTTTATTTTATGTGTATTTTAGACTATGGAAATGATGTTAGACAAAAAAGCAAATTCGAGTGATTTTCTTATTCAAATTCAAAATGCGTCGTAAAGCAGCAGAGATGACTCGCAACATCAACAACACATTTGGCTCAAGAACTGCTAAACAAACATACAGTACAGTGGTGGTTCAGGAAGTTTTGCAAAGGAGAAGAGAGCCTTGAAGATGAGTGTAGTGACTGGCCATCGGAAGATGACAACGACCAATGAGAGCAATCATCAAAGCTGATCCTCTTACAAAACTACACGAGAAGTTGCCAAAGAACTCAACGTCAACCATTCAACAGTCGTTCGTCACTTGACGCAAAATGAAAAGGTGAAAGAGCTCGATAAAGTGGGTGCCTCAGGAGCTGACTGCAAATCAAAACAATCGTAGTTTTGAAGTGTCATCTTCTCTTATTCTACGCAACAACAATGAACTATTTCTCAATCGGACTGACGTGCAATGAAAAGTGGATTTTATATGACAACCAGCAAGGACCAGCTCAGTGGTTGGAACTAGAGGAAGCTCCAAAGCACTTCCCAAAGCCAAACTTGCACCAAAATAAAGGTCGTGGTCACTGTTTTGTGGTCTGCTGCCTGTCTGATCCACTATAGCTTTTTGAATCCCAGCAAAACCATTACATCTGAGAAGTATGCTCATCAAGTCGATGAGATGCACCCAAAACTACAACGCCTACAGCCGGCATTGGTCAACAGAAAGGGCCCAATTCTTCTCCACGACAATGCCAGACCACACATCGCACAATGCTTCAAAAGTTGAATGAATTGGGGCTACGAAGTGTCGCTTCATCCGCCATATTCACCTGACCTCTCACCAACCGACTACCACTTCTTCAAGCATCTCAACAACTTTTTGCAGGAAAAACACTTCCACAGCCAGCAGGATGCAGAAAATGCCTTCCAAGGTTTCGTCGAATCCCAGATTTTCACACTATAGGAACAAACAACTTATTTCTCATTGGCAAAAATGTGTTTATTGTAATGGTTCCTATTTTGATTAATGAAGATGTGTTTGAGCCTATTAATAATGATTTAAAATTCACAGTCTGAAAGCGTAATTACTTTTGCACCACCGTAATACAAATTATAAAAGGAACTTAACTATTTGCATGGACAAATAGACATAGGAAAAGAAAAGGTCTCTCACTACAGCAATGTAAAACATTTATCAGCACTTCTTCTTAAGTGCTGGCAATGTGGATCTTGAAAAAATTACTGGGAGTAGAAGGTAGAAATGAACTATATAGAATGAACTATTAATAATCTATTATTCTTTTAGAAGAAATTTATCATCTCTTCCCTCAGTGAGCTATCTGTAGTTCTATTTTAGTGAGAATAAAATTAAGGGCAGTTATCAGTTTACTCTATCTAGACAGTGATCACCCAACCTCTCCATCTCAGAAGGTTTTAAGTTCTTCAACCACAAATTCTCCTATCATTTTTGTGAATATAGAAGTTCAACGCTTGAGTAAAAATTTTTAAATGTTCTCTAAAAACAAGATTGCTTTTTTTTACTAGACATTGCTATCCTATTGTCATCTTCTGTACCACACCAGAGTTTTTTATCACTCCTGAAAACAAAAGAAATGAGGCAAAACTATGTTTGCAATCTTCATATAACAATACAAGCTATATTCAGCACTACTGCAGCTATTTTGAAACTCTCAGAGAAAGCATTTCCAAACTGTTACACAGACTCCTTGGTTGAAACAGCTACTTTAAAATTTAATATTTTTACAATGGTAATAAGATAAAACATTTGAAAAAAAATTCTCCAGGCATCAAAGTATATGCTCATTAAATGGGAGTTATTATTGCTAAATCTCAAATCTGAAAATAAATATCATTTTCATAACACAGCATTTTAAGCATGAATATAAAAAAGACTTGGAAAGAAAATGTATTATATTGAAATAACCAAAATATACTCTTAAGTTTGCTGATTGCCATGAGTTTTGAAAAGACAAAATGAATGGAAGTTTTAAAGGTGCCTGATTTTGTGAACAAGCATCACAAGTTTTTAGTTCAGGACTTTGACCCTTTTCTTCTATGATGGGGATGGCTAAATAATCAACCCTTAGATTCACGGCAATAACAGAAGCAGTAAGAAAAAGA